TGATAACTCTCGCTCTCCGCCTTTCTCTTCTTTCTCTTTCCCTGCGCTCTTCACTTATAAGCAAATAGGTTGAATTCAATCCGCCATTGTTTGTTGCCATAACAATTTTTTGGAAACAGCTTTTTAGCACTACTGTCACAGAATCCTTATGCTATAAATAGTTGAAAACAAGTTCCTAAATTAAGGTAAACAAGTTTTTGAACGCGACGACAATGGCCACGTCATTTCTGGCGCCATTTCCCGCCAAGAAAATATAACATACTCCTCCCCCCTCGAGCCGACTCCTGATCCCCTACCCTCATCCCCAAAGAGTGTATGGATGGACGGAGTACGCTGACATCACAACCAAAATTTCTCAGGTGAATGGTTTACTAAATTATCTTAGCTATGGGGCTCTGCTCGCGCGCGCAAGCTCCGCTAATATTTCCAGACGCATTAAAAAATAGATTTAAATTATTATTATAATTAATAGGAAGAAGTACTTATTCAGCAGTGGTATATACAACAGAAGAATGCTATGCAGAGTAATTGGAGATTTCGGTTTCCACGTTATACATTTTGTTTTCAGCAACATATCATATGACAACAATTTTTTTCTGAAAGAAAATAACCTCATTGCGTCATGTCCTTTTTATTATATAATGTTTTTTAAAGCAACCTGTTTCAGTTTCTGGAGAATTTCAGCAGTCACGTTTTCCTGAAATAACATCGTTCTACTGCGTTGCGACCTTTTGATCACATGACTAAAACCTCAAGACTATTTATTCAGTTGATGCACCTTTCATACCATCATATCAAGTTGTGGTTCAAAGAGTCAAGTGTATTGGAAAGAATCCCCAGGTCATTCATTGAGAATACAGGTACACTGTAGGCTACATAATCGACTTTGTTTCACTGATGTATGGTAGATTACATAAGGAGTGATTGATTTTGGAATCTTTATGATATTTTTCATCAAACAGTCGAGTATAGTTTTTTAAAAATTGTTTCTATGTATCATTGCCTTCGGCGAGATGATCAAAGAACTCAGAAACGAAGCAGAAAAAAAACTCGAACAACTAAACCCGCTTTCTAATTTGATCTTCTGGGCCTAAGCTAACACCAATTTTTCATGAATATAACATATTTTGCAGAAACTATATCGTAAATACTCTTGTCCTTTGGCCATCGTAGCTGGATATAAAAAAACTCGCAAACTGCGGTGATAAACATGAGGAAAAGAAGCGCGTGTTTTCCGCATTAGAACTAATTGAAGTTTAACAGCCCCTAGTGAATTGGCTTAACATCTTCCTCCAATGCATGATAGATGTGATTTCAAACTCATAACCGTTTGAAGAAGAATTACTTCGACCTTTTAAATTTAAACAGGCCTGATCGAAAATCCAAAGTCCAACCTTTTTGATGGATTTTTCAGTTCTACGTAAAATATTGTATGCATACAGTACCTTTTGAATCCTTAATGACCGAAATTATCACATAGCTAGGTCATTTCTCATTCAGTCTGCCATTGGTCAAGTTGCGATCCTGTTGGAAACCGAATACAAAAGTTCGGATATCCCTTTCATTTAATCACTTCAAGCGCATTTATCGCAGCGAGAGAACAAAGGCGTCGAAAGGCGATAGAAACCATTTTACAATGGTGTTTGCGTTTGCTTGGTCTGATATAAAGAATCATCTTCGCGTCTTAGGAATGGAACCAGTGTTAGACCTCATATTAATACAAAACGCTTCAATAAAAGTAGCTTTAGATTAGATTAATAATATACACAAAAAAATTACTCAATTCTGATTGGCTGAGAAAGGAGTGCAGTTCTTCTGTAAAATGAGTGCAAACTTGTAACACGAATGCAAAATTTGTAACACGAGAGCAAATTGCAAATAGTTTCTGATTGGCCGAAAACACAAACGAAACCACCAAGAACTAATTAGATTAGAGCTGTTTTAACAACAAAATTTCGGAAATGGCCATGGCTTTCAGCAGACGACGACGGGATTTAATTTTGTACGCAAAACAACAATAGAAAAGTTAAAAAAATATTCCAAAAACAAGAACACAGTAAAAAGTACGTCTTTCAGGCTAAATGTATTGAAACTGCGGTGCTAAGAGAAAAATACTGTCAAAGAAATCGAGTAAAATGAGCCAGAGAAACTAAAAAACAAGCTACTTATAACAGACTACGCTAAAGTAAAACAATAAAGAACAAAAACAGTGGCAGCCACACGCAAACCATGACAGCTACACTTTTCAGGCATTTAAATGAACAAGGATACAAGTTTTCCATGACAACAACTAGGATTTCAAGTCACGTACGTTATTTGTTGGGGGAGAAAGGTGTCCGGTTGCTCTCTTTGAATTCTGTGTGGAGCGAAGACCTCTATTAAAACATCCATGCGATGGTCTGTTTTTTTCTACCTCAATAGGCAACGAAACCGAAAATTTAAACATCTGGCTCAAACTAAATCACGGGCGAAAATACCATAACTAACATAATAAAAGTATCCATAGCTGGTACTAGCCTTAACGAAAGTGAGAAAAAAGTTTACGTATCATTGTGCAAGAAAAACAACAGTCAGGACAACAGTCATCTCAAACATTTCTCCATGAATCCAGCTATGATGGGGTCTCAGGAACAGATAATGATAAACAGTCGTTAAAAAACCTTAGCAAGTGTCTTTCATCTTTGGCTGCTCGAAGCGTTCTCCTGATTTCAAAACGGCAGTATACTTCTTGTAAATGCCTCTTATAAATGCTGAGCTCTCATAATCGAGGATGAATTTAAAAACACTTACGTTCGCTGATTATTGTAAACCGAGTTATCTTTAACAAGCTGGTGACCATATAAAATCTATCCTTGCACATTTCCAAGTTCTTAGCTGAATAATTATGAAAACGTTGGTCTTGAAAAAGTTTGAATTTGACAAAGGTAATAGTCTGTTTCAGCCAATCAGTTGAATGAACTAAAATCGCGCGCCGTCAAAATTTGTTGTTGTAGTTATGTTTTTCGTGTATATCATTAATAAGTAATCACATGATTTTTCTCGTGCAATTTGGAATAAATAAGCACTTGTAAATTTTTTAAAGACCACAAAGTGCACTCGCCCAACGGGCTCGTGCACTTTTGTTGGTCTTTGAAAAATTTACCGTGTTTATTTATTCCAAACTGCACTCGAAATCATGTGATTACCTATACCACTTTTTAAGTACAACTTCGCTATATAAAATTTAGACTTTAAAATTTATTTTTATTGTAACATCTGATATGAATTGTTATCTGATGAAAAAATTATTATTATTATTGTTATTATTATTATTATCATTATTATCCTAAGGCATCAAGGGTTCAAACGCTGCCACTTCTCTTTCTAGGCACTCATTCATTTCCTCTTTTGCCGAAGAAGGTAGCTTCGTTTCCTCGGTCCCCTGCTATTGCTTGTCAAATAGGATTCTTTCCTAGTCATTTAAAGCCCAGTCCGAAATTTACGGCACGGTACTTTAACTCCACGTAGCTTCAAAGTGGTCTGCAATTCTCCTGCTAGTTCTAGTAGTTTTGCAAACTATGTAGCGTACTACCCCAAATTTATCAATTATAAAATTATGCCAGTTACTCATGTCATAAAAGTAGTCTAAATTGAAGCACCGAAACCAGAAACTGCAAGTCGAAATCGAAATACCCTTGTAGGAGTCGTAACAGTCTAAATTAAGGTGCCCAGCAAGCAGTAAACGACAAGTTTTCTACAAGTCGAAAAAAGAGTACTACCGTCAGCTTGAAAACAAACCAATCTTCGCTATTCATTCAAAGCGACTGGTTCAGCCACCAAAAGGGTCATTTGAGCCGTGGGAAATAATTGAAAAGTTTAATAGAGCCCCGCCTATTGCAATTTGAGCCCTATTTGGGCCCAAAAATGTTAAAACAGACTTGTTAAAAAGTTATTTCACCTAGTTTTCCTTATCTGGCATTGAAATTTAGACTACTTTTGGCCCTAGTTTATATAACCAAATAATACCCCAGAGAGGATACTTCACTCTAATTACATGATCGCGGCAGTCCAAAATTCAGGGCTAACACGAATGCTCGTGGCCGTAGACATTATCCTCTCCTCGCATGAACATAAAGCTGCAGCAGTCTTTATTTATCAGAAATAACTGACCAGCAAAGGAGAAATCTGCAGTTTATTTTTTCGGCAAAAATGCACTGAGAAGTCGCATGTGACAAACTAATGTCGCGGAAGTTATAACCCATTTCACGTCAAAAAATCATTTTGAACGTTGTTATCACTCCCATCGCTCAAACGCAAACCATTAGTAAACGCTTTTATCGCTAAGAAAATGAGAAATATAAATTGTTTCTTTCCATTCAGTAATGTTCACTCTGCGAGAAGTTTTCATCTTGGATCATTCTAGCTTTCGAGCGCGGGGATTTTCAAACAGCCCGGGATAACTTCAGGTCACAATTAAAGGAAGCAAAAGAGACTGGAAACAAAGATTCTTCTTTTTTTTTTAAATCGATTGCATATTACATAGATAAATAGACTGATAACTCCCTCCCCAAATACTCATACACACACGCACGCACACCTAACACACACGCAGAGACAGACACTTACTTACACTTATCTACTTTCTTACTTACTTACCGTACTTACTTAAAGTAATAGATTAATTACAGTTCTGACATAGCCTACTTATGCACTAGTTTTTCTAAACTCTCAATATTAGTGCAGATATTTTTTCCGTTTCATACTTAGTGTTGACTCTAACTTTAAAACTGTTTATTTTCAGAAGTACTTCATTCCTTGTACAATTTCATAAGTAAATTTTTCCAATAAGTATTAGATAATTCAGTAAGGGACTTTCAGACCCAATCAAAATATCCTTTAAAGTTAGTTGAACTTGTTGTTTTCTCAAAAGCAAAAAGTATACCTTAAAATTTTTCCAAAAAGAGAATGAATAAGGACAGTAACGAAAGAGATGATTAATCGTTTCTGGTTCCTGTTTACAGAAAGAACACACATCATTCGTCCTATACCCAATACGAAACAAAGATTGCGAAGTAGCAGAATATGTGAACCTTGGTGCTGCTTGTGACCCTCTCGGTGATCTGCAAAAAGTGATGGAACTCTCTCAGCAAGGTAACTGTATCGCAAAAGAGACTGGAAACAATGATTCAGAAGGAAAAGCTTGTGCGAACCCTGATGATGCTCATGGCCCTCTCGATGATTTCCAGAAAGAAATAGAAATCTCTCAGAAGAGTCTTAGGATCGAAAAAGAAATCGGAAACAAAGATTCAGGAGAAGCGGCTTATGAGAGCCTCAGTAGTGCTTATGACTATCTCGATGATCTCCAAAAAGCAATCGAAATCTCTCAGCATAGTCTTGAAAACAAGGATTCAGAAGGAATAGCGTATCTGGAACTTGGTGATGTTTGTCACTCTCTCCGTGATTTAAAAACCGCAATCGAATTCTATCAGCAGGGTCTTAGTATCTCAAAACGGACTGGAGACAAAGATTCAGAAGGAAAAGCATATGTGAGCCTTGGTGATGCTCATCTCGCTTTCGGTGATTTCCTAAAAGCAATCGAATTCTATCAGCAGGGTCTTAGTGTCGCAAAAGAGACTGGAGACAAAGATTCAGAAGGAACAGCTTACGAAAGCCTTGGTAATGCTTATCGCTCCCTCGATGATTTCCAAAGAGCAATCGAATTCTATCAGCAGGGTCTTAGTGTCGCAAAAGAGGCTGGAAACAAAGATTCAGAAGGAATAGCATATATGAGCCTTGGTGATGCTCATCGCGGCCTCGATGATTTCCAAAAAGCAATCGAATTCTTTCATCATGGTCTTAGTATCGCAAAAGAGACTGGAGACAAAGATTCAGAAGGAACAGCTTACGAAAGCCTTGGTGATGCTTCTCGCTCTCTCGATGATTTCCAAAGAGCAATCGAATTCTATCAGCAGGGTCTTAGTGTGGCAAAAGAGGCTGGAAACAAAGATTCAGAAGGACTAGCATATATGTGGCTTGGTGTTGCTCATCGCGGCCTCGATAATTTCCAAAAAGCAATCGAATTCTTTCATCATGGTCTTAGCATCGCAAAAGAGACCGGTAACGAAGACTTTGAAGAAACGGCATATCTAAACCTCGGTGCTGCTTATCAGTCTCTCCGTGATTCAAAAAACGCAATCGAATTCTATGAGCAGGGTCTTAGTATCGCAACAAAGACTGGACACGAAGATTTGAAAATAGTAACTTATGGAAGCATTGGTAATGTTTATGGCTCTCTCGGTGATTTCCAAAATGCAATCAAATTGTTTCAGCAGGGTCTTGATATCGCAAATAAGACTGGAAACAAAGATCTAGAAGAAAAACTTTATGAAAGTCTTAATGATGCTTATTGCTCCCTGGATGATTTCCAAAAGGCAATCGAATTCTTTCAGCAGGGTCTTAGTATTGCAAAAGAGAATGGAAACAAAGATTCAGAAGGAATAGCTTATAAAAGACTAGGTGATGGACATCTCTCTCTCGGAAATTTCGAAAAGGGAATCGAATTTTTTCATCTTGGTCGTAGTGTTGCAAAAGAGACTGGTAAAATTGATTTAGAAGGAACAGCATGTGGGAAACTTGCTAATGCTTATTTTTGTCTCAATGATTTCCAAAATGCGTTCGAATTCTTCCGGCAGGCTCTTGGCATCGCAAAAGAATTTGTAAACCAATATCCAGAAGCTGTGGCATACAGGAGCATGTGCGGTGCTTTTGAGTCTGTTGAGGATTACCAAAGAGGAATAAAATTCTTGCAGCAAGGCTTAACTTTCGCAATAAAGGAAGGAATCAAAAGAGCAGCATTTTGGAAGGACTTCTGGGATGCTTTGCACTCTCTCGCTAATTTGATACCAAATGTTGAGGTTGCAGCAAAATTTGAGAACATATTTTGTTACGATAACGTTTTTCGTGACTTGGAAGTAGTTGCCGAATTCATTCAGCCGTTTCTAGGTATGAAAGAGGAACATAGAGGAAACGAAGATTTAGAAGCAGATTATGGTCGAATGTTGTCTTATTTTTTCCTTGGTCAAGTTTATGTCCTTTTCGGTGATTACCAAAGGGGAATCGAATCCTCTCAACAGGGTCTTAGTATCGCAATAGAGACAGGAAACAAAGATTTAGAAGCAGCGTTTCATACGATCCTTGGTCGCGCTTATTTGGCTCTTGAAGATATCCAGAAAGCAAGCGAATCCTCTAACAAAGGTCTTACTCTCGGAAAAGAGATTGGAGATGAATATGCACAAGCCACTGCACTTTTTAGCCTGGGTTCTACCCATGGTTTTCTTTGCGATTTCCAAAAAAGAGTCGAATTCTCCCAGCAGGGTCTTAGTATCGCAAAAACAAGTGGAGACAAATTTGTAGCGGCAAGAGCATATGCGGACCTTGGTAACGCTTATTGCTCTCTCGATGATTACCTAAAAGCAGTGGAGACCTACCAGGAAGGTCTTATTTTGGCAAAAGAGACTGGAGACAAACGCACGCAAGCAGAAATTTATTTGAATATAGGCTGCGTTCTTGTTCAACTTGACGACTTGTCCAGAGGTGAGGAATGCTTCAATTGCAGTATGACGCTTCTGGAGGAAATGCTGGGTCTTCTAAAGAAAGACGAATGGAAAGTTTCCTTTCGTGATCAGTATAGAGTTTATGAACATTTATGGCGTCTTCAAGTACGACAAGGCCGTACAATCGAGGCGCTTTCAACAGCTGAGCGAGGACGAGCACAAGCTCTCGCTGATCTCATGAAACTACAATATGGCGTTAAATTAATTCAATCATCACCAGAAGAGCAGATGAAGAGAATAGCCACCCTCTCAGTTCAAACTTCATCCCCTACGATATTTCTCGCCGAAGACGAGGAATCAGTAAATATCTGGGTACTGTTGGAGAGTGGAACGTGGCAGTTTGTACGAAAGGAAATTAGTCAGGCGTTGACAGATTGGACTAATAAATCATACAAACAAATTGGCGTGAAGGAACCAGTCAGGTGCGAGGACCGTTCCTTTGGTGATGAATCAGACGATGAAGAGGTCGAAGAGTTATCTGATAGGGGTGAAAATGAAAAGGATTCAGCATCGTCACAAGACAACAGTGATGCATTGAAAATATTGCATGAAGTCATTTTTACTACCATTTCACAGTGGATAACAAATGACGAACTTATCATTGTACCTGATGGCTCGTCGTTTTTGATTCCGTACGCTGCCCTTGTTGACCAGCAGTCCAGGTATTTGTCTGAAAGGCTGAGAATTCGATTGGCTCCATCACTAACCACCTTAAGTCTGTTGACACAGTGTCCAGAGGAGCACCACAGTAAGTCTGGTGCACTGCTTGTTGGTAATCCGTGGGTGCAAACAGTACGCCTCGAAGGGGACAAATTTCAGCAGCTTCCGGGAGCTGCGAAAGAGGTGAAAACAATTGGAAAAATGCTAAAAATCGAACCTCTTACTGGAACGAATGCTACAAAAGACCAAGTGTTGAGCAAGCTTCATTCAGTCTCTCTAGTTCACATTGCAGCTCATGGGTGCGCAAAAACTGGAGAAATCATTTTGTCTCCTAATAACGTCAACTCCGAAAAACCACCCAAAGAAGATTTTCTTTTAACGATGGCAGATGTGTTGAATGCAAAATTAAAGGCCAAGCTTGTTGTATTAAGCTGCTGTCACAGTGGTACAGGGAAGATTAGAGCCGAGGGCGTGGTTGGTATTGCACGTGCTTTTCTAGGAGCCGGTGCACGCGCCGTTGTTGCGTCGCTGTGGGCGATTAGCGATGAGGCCACCATGGCGTTCATGACACATTTTTACGAGTGTTTGATGGCAGGGCAAAGTGCGAGTAAGTCTCTTAACCAGACCATGAAATGGATGCGGGAGTTCGACGATTTTAGAGCCGTGAGGCACTGGGCACCATTTGTGCTGATTGGCGATGACGTGACAATGGATTTTGAAAAATCAAGGTGAGATTCTCACGCTATGTTAAGGAATATCCTACTATTGCGATGAAAGCGACTAATAAAAAACAATCATTTAATCCACAAACGTCAGTGGAAAAATCTCGTTGTAGAGTATAATAAACACCATGTCGCAAAAAGGATAAAAAAAAAGTCATGCATGCATCGCGACACTCGAGGGTTTCATTCACCGGCTCAAAGATAATTATGATATCTTGCTTTTCTTGCTAAACAGTTAAATTTTGGACTGCATGTGGTTTGCGCATTTCACTGAGCATGTTTTAAATCTACAAACTTTTTATTCTTGACTATTTTGTTTCTTTCAGTGATGTCCCAGCCCATTAAGATGAGATGATGTTGCGTGACATTAAACATTTACTAAGTAGGAACATTTGCAACTGAATGAAGTTCTGTTCTCATCCCCGCCATCAGTTGTTCTTTGTAATAGACTAATATTATTATTATTGTTTTTGCTATTATTTTACAAATCGCATTCGTGCAATAACTGCACCAATTAGAGTACGCAATTCGAAGAAAAGAAAGAGAAATTTCGCGATGAAAGCCGTTAAATGCAATTCATTCCTCGATGGAGTGATAAAAAATTCAGTATTCGGGGGGGGGGGAGGGAGGGGGGTACTTCCTTATAAGAGGCTAACGGGGATGTGCCGCTGGGTGAGGTCGCATTTTCAATAGAGTTATTAGAATGGGGTCTCACATTTTCTGATTTTTGAGGTAAGAGAGGCCAGCGGCACATACCCAGCAAGAATTGTAACCCAAGTACCCACCCCCTCCGCCCCCCGGCTCGTAGTGTCTAAGAAAATTTCTTGAAAGCTAATTCACCTTTGAAAACGATAGTCCCTAAAAGTAAGCAGCTCATTTAGAACGCCTGCCAATATGCTTAAGACAGACTTGGGTGAAACTTAACACTAATATCGAAGAGATGGAGGGACTAAACGATCTCACGTTTTCGAAATAACTAGAGGCTTGTTCAAGGATTCAACTGTAACTTTGGACTTGAGTCCAAGATATTCATAGTTAAGGTGGTTGTACAGCGATATATTTAGTCATGGCTTAAAAGAAAGCACAAATAGTCGTTCTCTTTTGACTTACAATCGTCCTAAGAAACATTGATTCTGGAGCATTCTTGAGGTACAACAAAGAGTGTTGGGGTATTTTTGAAAAGGTCTATTAAATTGAATAGCAAATTGAGAAGTGTCCGGAGAGGCCCAAAAAATCGTTTAACTTTTAAAATAGTCATGTGGTACCGGTTCACAATCAAGTCAATTTTTAATGAGGCAAATCTTCTAAAACATTGTAACTTTTGTACAGTGCCAGAAAAGGTGAATAAGATTTTTAACAGCTTTAATTTGTTGCAACGCGAGTAGTTTACTCTTGTTTCACAACAATTTTTCCAAGTTAATATAAAGAAACGAGTTCAAGTTTGGTGAGGAACTTTCTGGAAATTTTTAGTGTAATGATGTTTAAGGGCAGATGCACCGCTATAAGTCCAAATATTTATATATATTTTTTTGTTTTGTATTTTTTCTATAAAATACAAAAACGAAAGTTGCTTAATTCTTTTAATTAAATATCATACTTTTGAAACCTCACGAATAAATAGTTTGTTTTCGTCAGAAACTGGTGTTGCTTTTAAATCCTAATAAACAGGTTGTGTGATAAAGGTTGCTCAAGAAACCATTGAAGAAACTGATATTTAGTTTTCAGAACACCTTCAAAATTGACTTTTGAAGAGCCCTTCTGGTGTGTGTGTCTTAAAATTTTTACTGCCGTTTTCGCAATGAAAGCCTTAAAGGATTGGTTGGGAAAACAATGAACGAACAAATGAATGGAACTTAGCTCCAAAACAAAAGAGCTGCAATATAAAGAGGTTCAATAAAATTAGAGGTTTCGTTCTGTCTAGCTCTACACCGCAAATTACCAGAGACATGGTTAGTTGGATATCCCAAGAATTGACGAGGCTGTCTTACATATAAAACAGGGCCCCTTCCAGTCAGAAGTCTCGTGCAAAAACGTTTTAACAATTAAATTTGATCTTTGGGAGAACTACAAGTATTATACAGAAAACAGCTAAGGAGACTAAATAGTGTGAAAAAAATAATAACAAATAGTTACAAAGACAAAAGACTGATTGAAAGGCACCAATTACATTTCTATCCTTCATAGCAGGTAGCATCACAGCTTACTAACGGACCACCCATAACCTCGCGACGTAATTAATTGTCCAATCAGGTCAATAGCGAGCGTCTAAAACCACCAGCTGATTTTATATTATTCACTATGACGCTGACGATTCCGCCTCCTTACAAGAAGTTAAAGAGTTCAAGAATTTCATCACCTCAAACGGGAGCTATCCTTTTTCTAAAAACTCCCAAACGCGCATGGCGTGAACTATTTGATTTTTCAACCGGAATTTCCGGTTTCCCTAAGTGAATTGTAGATACCCCCGGTCACCTCGCAGTCTCTGCTTCTTCTCCCATAGAAATATTAATAAATCCTTGGCAATGCATGTTACCTCATTCACTTAGTATGTCATGGGTCAGGATCAGTACGCTGAGGATTTTCCTATGCAGATGTTCTTCTGCAGGCTGCGGCTTTTTTTTTCACCCACTTTACTCACTCCCTGTCCTGCGCGAAGCAATCTCATCTCGTTTTTGATTAGCTCCCCACCAAAACTAAAAGTCAAAAGAACGTGTGCGCATGGGTGGCTACTCGGGTTTATAGGTTACTCTTAAAATAGTGTGACTCTAAGACACGGCATAGTGTGGGGTGGAAGGAAAAGCATTATGAAGAATAAAATGTCAATTTTTTTAAATAAGCTAGAACACGCGCTTGTATCATATAGATGTTAATATTAACATGTTGCTTCAAGTCCTAAGCTTAAAGGAAAAAAAAGTAGCACATGTCGTTTGGTTCACAAAACACCCCATTTTGTCCTCGTTAGTGATAGTTTCTGCTCTATATTTATCTTCATAACCTGACACGGCAAACATGTAACAGGTCTTCCGGGCGCTGCAATCAATGCAAGCTCCTTGGTGGAGAAATAACGGGGAGTACTGGGGAGCAGAAAGCGAGGAATTGAGGAGGGGAAAAGCGATAAAGGGTCCGCCACCTTTTTCCCTTCTAAATCCCACGCTCCTTTCGCCTCCATCTCTGCTTTCCCCTCGTTATTTGCTCTCCTTCCCCCCCCCCCCCCCACACCCTTCCGCCTGCAACGGCCTAAGTCCTGTGGGCGTCCTATTAACCCTAGACCCCTGTTAAACGGGCACCACCCCGCACCTGTAACAAAAGTCCCCCCCCCCACCACCCCCCCCCCCCCTCAACGGCCAAAAATCCCCAGCAATTTCCCCTCTGAATATATCTTTCGGCGGTAACAGGCTAAGTACTGTGGGCGTCCTAGTAACCCTAGAACCCTAGTAAACGTGGAACAACCCGAGACTGGTATAGAGATCCCCCCCCCACCCCAACCACCTCTCCAATTAAAGGGAAAAAATTCCAAGGCATTTTCCTTATGGATTGGGAGATGTCCAGTCGCTTATATACCTATAATACGTTGTTCCTTTACCTGAACCAGTTCGGTTAGGGCTAGGGAATCTGGGTAAAAAGTTTCAATGTGCTCCAGAATGCCCCCCTTGAGCGGTATTTCGCACAACAAAGCTTGTTCTGTGAGGTAGGCTATGGCTAGGCGAATCCACTTAAAACAATCAATAGCTTCAGATGCTACATTGTCGTTACCTAGAATTCATTTTTGCAAACCAGTTCTGAAAGGCCCATAAACGATCAATATAGATTTCCATCAAAGTTTGATAACCCCCAAAGAGAAAATGTCAACTTGATCTAAATTGTGTAAAAGTCATGTTTTATTAGAAATTAAAATTACACACTTAATTATACAATTAGAGGCAGTTACACTTCAGCTGAATGTTAGTTATTAGCCAATTCTAGATAAACAGAAAATAAGGTAAGCAAGCCAGTTCCACACAACACTGATCGCTGTCAGGTCCACAAAGGTTGCACTCCTAAAAACAGGTAAGAAAGTAAGAAGACAGCTTTAAAGTCAATAACCTTTTTAAATATACGATAATTCTATTTGGTCGATTCCCATACTCCCTGTAATTTTTGCTGTAGAATGCCGCACTGTGTTGCTTAGCCTTGGATTGCTTCGCACACTTTATGTCAGGCTAAGGCAAACCCAGCATTCCGGTGCCTTGTTCCTCCCGTTGCCACATGTAATGTAATCCGGATTCCAAAATCCAGGAAATTTTTGCTTGCCGAATCCGCAATCCGGGAAGCTTTTGTTTGTGGAACCCGGAAATGCTGGGCTTTGAAATCCGGAATTCAGCTATCTACTAGAATCCGGAATCCAAGTTCCACTGAATCCAGGACTGTCATTTTCTCACCTTCCACAAATAATTGACCTGCTCACCACCGACTAGTCTGAGAAAACAGCCGACATTTTTGGCGAACTGGGTAGTGACGTGTCATCAGTATGGAATTTCTACGCTCGTTTCTCAGTCGACGTCATTTCGCGGAGAAACCAGTGGTGGCGTCGCCAAATGTCGGCTGTTTTCTCAGGCTAACCACTGACAAATCGCGATATTTTAAATTGCTTAACATTGTCTATGAATTGATAACGTATCAAAATACTTACCTGTGTATGCTCTTGTAGTTCGAATGCACGGTCCTGGATTACTCTAGGAAAAAAATAAAAGGAAAAGAAAAACGGGATGTAAAAATGAAGCGCACATAAGAGACAACAAAAACAATGAAATACAGCTTGACCGCCCGAGAGACGTAGTGAATGATCTTACGGCAATAATTAGAGAATTCCTAAAGGGGACCAGTTTGAATTTTGCTCTGGCTTTATCTGTCCATTAAGTTCGTAACTAAAGAGACCATTTTTGAAGAAAGTATTTCTGTAAGCACAAACCTAAATGATATCTTTATGCAGGACAAAAATATTTCTATTTCATCCTGAACATAATTCAGTAGTCATATTGGACCCCCCCCCCCCCCCCCCCCCAAAGAAGGCACCATCTGGAATTTTGGAAGGGGGGGGGTTCCCCCCAGTTTTTGTTTTGAATTTATCAAAAATTCTTTTCAAATTTTGTTTTTTTTTATGTTGTTTTTTTTTACAAAAAAAGAAAACTTGCCTTTGTTTTTTTTTTTTTCAAAAATAAAAAACATTATCCGCCTCCTAAAAAAATCTGAAAATGAGGTCTTTTGCTACTGTCAGTGGCTATTCAATTCATATTATGAGTGGCAGCAAAGCGCGACTTTTTGAAAAAGGAATTCCATGAAACAAAATCCTAACTCATTCTTTTTTAGCAGAAAAAAAAATTCCTCTTTATACTTTAATTTATTAAACAATAAAAATGGACCCCCCCCCCCCTCCCAGCTAAGGAAGGCACGATCTGGAATTTAGGAAGGTCGGAGCTTCCCTCAGGTATTGGTTGTGAATTAATCAGAAGTTCTATCAGATTATGGTTTTGTTACATGTGATCTGACTTAACAAATGAAGAACGCTTGCCTGTGCTCTATTCTGTTACAAAAATGAAGCACATTAGCCGCCTCCTAATAAATATTTTACTACAGAGCAGAGCACAGGCAAATAAAAAAAAAAATCTTTAATTGTTTATGATAAAGAATCTGTTTAATTCCCCACGCATCATTTTCTACTTTTCAAAACAAACTATTGGCAGATGGCGTTATCGCCTTAGCTCCGTGTTTTATACTCTCATAAAGTACGCTTTTTCAAACAATCAGAGTGAGCGTAATATCGGAGATGTCGGAACTTCTTTTTAAAAATAAATGTATCATGCCCTCTTCCCGCAAGAGTGATATAGAGATAACCGGGAAAGTGCAAGCTTTAAGCTCTAGTGCAGAACTAGCTGGTAAGCAGAAAAGTTTGCTCTATTTTAGAATGCAAAAAATTTATTAAAAAGCAATGTTTTCTTAAAATTAAGCCGCATAATTTAGTGAGAACTATGAATTTCAGTAACAACAATTTGGTTCACGTTCATTAAAGAATTGGCAATATGAAAAAGGGAAAACTTAATAAACAATGAATCAGCTAAGCTTATTGTAGAAAATAAAAGGTTGACACTTGCAAACAGACTTTTGTAAACAATAAACAAATCAATGGCTTTTAAAGCTACAACCTCGGACAAAACTGTTCACACGACTCCATCTACATTTTAACTTTTTCTAAACAGAAAAAAGTAAGCCCCATCAAACTCCCTTCAAAGTTTTTTGTTTTTTAATCTAAGAAGCAACGCGTATTATTCTGGTGCTGTCTCCATAGGGGGAGCGGGAAGGGGGAGGGGGGACGGGCATTTATTTGCCGGGACGGTTTCCTTTCTTGCCAGGATGACAGGAGAAGACAGGTATTTTGTGTCTTAAGGTGATTTATTCGGGGTGTAAGATCCTTATAACTATGTCTGAACTTACTGCAATAGTCCCAATAAATTCCGGCTGGTCCTACATTAAAATTTACAGGATCCAGGGGACACCACGGTCGGTTGTTAGGTTCATCCTCAGTTAAACAACAGTAGTATGGCGCCCCTTTGTATGTGAAGGGAAGAATGCAGGCTTTACCGGATATTGCCGTATGTAGGCAGGGAGTTGTCGGCGTAGTTGTGATGGTGGTGGTAGGTATGGCGGCAGACAAAACTTGGTAGACAAAAGAAAGAAAAATGGTATGAGAACAACAAATCACTTCTTTAACTTTGGAAGTGTTTAATATGCAAGACCCACGTCACTACCTAGATCTAGGTAGTGCTTGTGATTGTCTGAAAATTTGCTTCAACCAGTTAGAAGCACTGCCCGGATCTGGGTAGTCACAAATGCGTCATCAGTATGGGATTTCTGCAGTGTTGGGAAGGCAAGGCTAGCTCGAGACAGGTAGTGAATGATCTTAAGGCAATAAGAAGAATTTAATTTCTGATGGAGTCTAGCTTGGGCGTGGCTCTGGCTTTATTTGTCCCCTAAAGGAGATTGTCAAATGGTAGTATAGTATCAAGAAGCAGGTATGCTCTATAAAATGTTTTATTTCATTTCTGTTTATCTTTTAATAAGAAAGAGACTGCATTTTAATAATAATAAGTGCAGAAATGTTTCAGCTCCATTTTAGAGTGCAATAAGCTATTAAAAAGGACGTTTTTTTAAAAATAAGCCGCATAATTCAGTGAGAAACAGAACTATAATTTGTACAGGTAATCGGCATGATTTGAAGTGATATTTGGCATAAATACCACGCGTGATATTTCGAAATTGTTGTACGCAATTTCACGAGCCGTTAGGCGAGTGAAATTTGAGACAATTTTCAAACACCACGAGTGGTATTTGTGTCATATATCACGTAAAATCATGTAGTATAACAGCGGTAATAATTTGGTTCACGTTCATTAAAGAATTCGAAATCGGATAAGTGGAAAATTAAGTCTAAAGACAATTAATTTTTAGCTTTTTATGGAAAAAACAGGTTCATTTGCAAACAGAATTTTATAAACAACAAACAAAGCAACACAGTATTACAGCTACATTTGAGAGCCTCCTTTACAGAACCTAAACGATACTAGCATCATTTATAATGTTAGGAATCTTGAAACTGATCTAGCACTTCCAAGGCCAAAGACTAATTTTCCTTAACATAGTTTTAAGTATAGTGCTGCAAATGAGTGCTCTGGAATACTCTTTCTTACGAGGCAAAAACAGCGCAATCGTTTCCCGAATTTAAAAGCCAATTTGCCTCTTAGTCGTCTACTGAATCGCCTTGATTCGTTAATTTGAAGGCATGTATATTTTCAACTTTAGTAATTTCTCTTCAAAACTCCCACCAACAAAAAATGGGGTGGAGTCGGGCATTCATTCGGTTATTAGGTTCATACTTAGTTGAACAACAGAAGTATTCGTCCCGTTTGTATGTGAAGGGAAAAATGCAGGTTTGTATAGGTAATAGCATGATTTGTAGTGATATTTGGCATAAATACCAAGAGCGATATTTCGAAATTGTTATACGTAATTTCACGAGCTGTTAGGTGAGTGAAATTTGAGACAACTTTGAAAGATCACGAGTGGCATTTATGCCAAATATCACGTACAAATCATGCCCTTATTTGTTTATACTACTACTAGCAATAGTGTTGTAATTTTGACATGTAGGTATTTCAAATTAAGCTGAAAGACCACTGCTCTAAGCCAATCAAATTGCAGAAATTTCTCATGTAGTAGTATAATACCAGAAACTGCGCCAGCCATTTGTGGGCAAGGAGATGTTGGGGCAGGCGTAGTTGAGATTGTGGTGGTAGGTATAGTGGTAGGTAAAAGTGGTGGAGAAAAGAAAGAAAAATGATATGAGAACAACAAATCATCTTTTTAACTCTGAAAGTGTTTAATATTCTAGACCAGATAACTAAGGGCCCGATAACCTTCATAATTCGGGCTTGCCCGGGCTGCCGGGTCGGTTGCTTTCTCAAAGTGCAGCTGCTGGCTCACCTGACCAGTTAA